ACCATTAGAAATTTCGTTCGATTAGGAAGTATTAAGGGGTCTCAAAAATTCCGTGATATATTGCCATAGAAAGCGTATCAACTAACCGTGTAACCGTGTTACTTTCTTACGGAAAATCCACACAAGTCTATTGCAACTATGCATGTAAATGTTGGTTTCCATTTCACTTAGTACCCGGGGTTGTCGTGTGTTTGCTGTTCAACCAATTACCCGTCGTTTACAATTGGCAATTTAGATATCAGATCATCACTATGCGTATATGTGTATATCGATTGATTGCAATTTCTAACAACTTTGCTCGATTTTTGACACAAAAAGTGGCAACTTGTTTCCTGTTTTAACTTATTACTTATCAATTGAAGACAAAAGTATTGACCCGACCAATTCGAGGGTTTTCTCATTTCCGAATAAACTGTTCACCGCAGCCCGATACCACAAAAGATATCAAAAACCAATCCATCTATCTGTATATCATTTTCACCGCATTTGGTGCCGTGCCGAGTGAAATTTACATGACCACATGTATAATCTTCCTCATCAGGCTGCGGAATGATGATGATGATGATGATGATGTGTGTGTGTGTGTGTGGGCCGCAGAGGTGGCATCATTCCAGTAGAGCCAAATGTGGTTTGAACTATCAGTCCGTGGACATGCGACTCAGAGCACTTATTCAATCCTAATGGACACATTATTTCTTCTCACTCACTCTCTCTCTCTCTCTGTCTCACACACAGTGTACTCAAACTCAGAAGAACGACCCGGTTTCCACCACAGTATCATCCGTAAATGAGGACGAGAAAAATTTATCTGGTGAGTAATGGTCAGCCAGGACAGAGTCAACGCACTGTATCCAATAGACGAACTGATTGTTCTGTTTTTGGTGTGTGTGTGTGTGTATGTGTCAAATATCGGGTCCACTTGCATAACTTTTCCAATATGCTTGCGCCTCGTATTATTTTTTTTCGGTTAGCAATTTTCTTTGACGAAGCTCAAATTCTTAGGGAATAACAAAATAGTTTTAAAATTTGACAATCTCACCGGTTTCTCATGCATTACCTATTTGTACCGGACTATGTTGTTGTGCTAGTATTGCTTTCTATTTGATTTCAACTGTGATGTGCGATTGTTGTCTGTGTTTCGTGTGATTTTCAGATACACGCTTGCCTGTTGTCAGATATCCGGATTGCAGTGGAAAACAGACATAAGAACAACTTTTGGAATGTCATAAATGTTAGCTAACGAGAGTTAATTCCGTAACATTTCCCTCACACAAACATGACTGTACACACATCAACAATAGGTCAATAGGTGTAGCCAATTGGATTCAAATCCTCATTTAATTTATCACATTCGGATGTCTGATTGTGTAATGAATGTAAATGCTCCAAATTTGCACTACGCCCCTGGGGAAAATACTTCTTTGATACTTCTAAAAACTATTGACTCACTGGAATTGTGTTTCGAGCCTTTTACTTTCCATTACCCTAAAAATCGATGAATAAAGTTGGGTACAATCAACAAAGATCGGAAGAATTAGTAGAATGAATGATCGGGTAATTCCTTCGTATTGATCATTTAGATGAAGCAGAAGTATTTTCACATCGCTCCAAATTTGAGCAGTTTTAACAAAACGATCGATAGGAAGCGAAAGAGCCTCTCTGTCCACATGTTCGTTTATGGCAAGTGTGTATAACGAGGTCTGGCACGATTAGCAATGTTCCCGCTAATGCAGTTCACTGTGCGCTCGATATGTGTGTACGCGCTCGATGGCTCAATACAAACGTCAAGGATTGACCAGGCAGTCCACGTTTCCAATGCCACGCACTGCTGTTGACGAGTTTGGCTGTGTTGACCAAATAGGTATACATTCTTTCACAAATGAAATCTGCATCCATACGTTTCACATAATTATAGTAATTATGATTATTACAGTTTCTCGCTTTAGCTGGCTCATCAGTTCTGAATTGTGTGATCCGATGCACGAGGTAGAAACCGGAATGAAAATGATCGATTTGCGTGCAGTTACTACCTGATCACGCTATGGTAAGGGTTATGAACCAAATTATAGAGTCATTGTCCACGATAAAGAAAATTACATTTGTGCCCCAAATATCTGCCTCGAGGTATTTAATACGTCTGAGTTTATTGTTAAACCATAAATCACATTTACAATAGCATAAGTATGCCACTGAATTTGGTCAATATACTACGCGCTACACTTGCGTATTAATAAATTTATCAGTCAATTAGAAAGCCCGCGATCTCTAACCCCAACCTTCACGCGGCGACGAGTGAGATGACATGTTTTTGAGCATACAATATTTTGTGCCAACTGGCGCAATTCGATCACGGAAGCCTGGCCGTTTGATGCGTGCATTGGGATTTCGGATGCATATAAATTGGCTCTCTGTGTGTCCCATCACACATGCACGCCTCTCGGCGCTCCGGTCATCACCACCACCATCAGCTCTTCTCCACCCCATCCACCCCCCAACCCGAGTCCGGAACGCACACAACCTGTTCTAAGCGAGACAATCAGTTTTCCCCAATCTCGGTTTTGTCTCCCATTTAAAGGTGACTTTATTGTACACCAAAAACCATTTGTGCACAAACCCCTCTTCCCTCAACACTTTCAGCAATCCCCTCCCCACTCAGCCACCTCACCCCCCCCCCCGGGAACCTACATTTCTGGATTTGTCCCTCCCCTTGGGTGGCATCACTCGTATTCCCAGTGGCCGTTTCTCCATTGCGCATTTAGCCGTGCCAGCCACAATTTCGTGTTCGAATTAATCAGACACACACACACGCACATAGATGGAGTAAAGTCGCTCCTAACCACAAATACATTCGTAAACGTATTATATCCCAAATAAGTCCCTTTTAGAATGTTCAGAGAGAGAGAAAGAGAGAAAAAGGGAGGGCACGAGACGGTGAGATGCGTACGTCATTCCAGATTATCCATAGTGGAACTGAGCCAATTTCACCGCTGAAATGCAGTTTCTCTGTCGGGCTTGTTTAACCCTATGATCCTTCGTTCCTCGACAAATACTCATTAGAAAATTAATGTGGTCTAAATAATTGTCACTAAAGAAGGAATCAGGAACGAAGTTGATAAACCTCTCTGTCACTCTGTCACTCAGTGGCGTAGCTCTTCAATTCTGGAAATTTGTTCACTTTAATTTATCGTTGCGAATGTGATTTACGCATGTTTCAATGTGTTCAGCTAAATTAATATCCAGTGCGTCTTAGCTTCTCAGTTCAAACCTATTTTGAATGACGAATTCATCATATAAACAAATCAAATCCTCCATTACTCTAATACAATAAATCAATATTACCCGATCTTAGTTTCACTCATACACCAAGTGAATGTGAGTGAACATCTCTGCACACTCGCGCATACGAGTGGCGGATTATTTCGATTCGCTTCGGGCTTGCACGGCGGGACTATGGTCCAAATGAGATAGACGGGGTCCTTCAAAAGCAACTCGGAACTTAGTAAAATCGGTTGAGTCTTTCATAAGTGTGTGAGAGAGTGCGAGCGCTCGCACCCGTGTAAGATAGCGAGCGAGTGCGCGAGAGAGTTTACTCATCTCGAATGATCAGTAGTCCATTAAACGTATGGCCCGAATCAAGCGCTGATTGTAATCAATCTATACATGTGCTGTCTGCTACACGAATAGCGGACAAAACGCCCAGATACATTTTGAACGACCGTACACAGTGCATACTCAGCTGCGACATAAACTGGCTCAAAACCAGTTTTTTTACCCTCATTTTTGTTCGCATACATGCGCGCGCGCACACACACACGCACGCACATATCCCCACAACATGATGGTTACCCCGGGGAAGGCAAATTGCTTGGTAAATATTGGGGAATGGATGAGGGTGAATGCTTCAGAGACAAATTCTACTTTACTCCATATTCCAATGACTATTCTCTCATATCGATTGTGCTTGCTGGCATTTGCATATTTTCCACTTCATACCACTACAGATTCCTATCATATATTTGTCGGCGATCTTGCACCGGATGTGGAAGACGACGTGTTGCACGCTGCATTCGCGGCATTTGGTAATGTAACGTAAGTTCGTCCCTCCTTCCCTCAGTCCGTCTGTCTTTCGGTAGGGAGCGTGATAGAACTAGAGTGAGAACAGTACAGCTTCACAAACTGTTCGGTGTTTTCCTTTTTGGTTGACCAACCTTTTTGATAGGAACGAAGGGAGCTTCTCCTTCTGGTTTGCACAATGCGACCGTACCTCCCCAAACCACTTTATTCTGTAAATTTATAGGATTGTGATGAAGTTGGTGTTTAGATTGATGTTGACCACAAGAACCGTTTTGAAACGCATATTTTGCAGCCCACTGTGATGGCAAAATAAGTTTAATTTATACTGAATGATGTATTAGCGTTGTTCTTTTAACCCAAGTAACAATAGTTCAACCATTAGCATTTTAATTCGCCAGGGTTATAGAAGCATGAATGATCGTTAACAAAACAAATCCGACGATAGTTTTGATCAAGGTTTGGAGAAATGAGCCCATCTACTGCGCGAACATATCGATCCTGTTGTTTTTGAAAGTAATTTTATTTTCACTACATGTTTAAACGGTTCCCCAGTGCCTATGCAAGCAGACACAGGGAAGCTACATATTTTTGATTTTAGCCAATGTTAAACGAGTTAGGGAATGTATTCGAAAATGAATTGTTTTTGGACATATAACAGGATGAACTGGAGCAACAAAACTGGTTGGTTTCATCGGTTGAGGAAATGTATAGACCACATCCCGAATCAAACCCATCCTATCAGAACAACCGGGACTAACGGATTGTCAGGCAGATCATCAATATTGATATGTCGCGCTGATTGCCAGTCACGGTAAAGATGTTTTTGACTGAGTCACATACTGCGAGATCTGGGGCACCTGTCCCAACAACAACAACAACAAAAACAACAACAACAACAACAACAACAACAACAGCAGCAAAGTTTGCCTTAAGCGATTCCTCGCTGCCCCCCCCCCACCGCTTCCGCCCCCTCGTATTCGGTTTGGTTAAAACCCGGTTGATGTTTGGAGAGGAGTGGCGGGGAGGGGGGGGTTGTGGCGGAGGGTGCACTGGGGAGGGAGGGGTATGAAGCGAGAGGTTCGTGAATTTAAGCAGATCCTTAAAGGAACAGAAGAGTCTGTGTCGTAAACCAATAAAGAAACAACCAGATGAAATGCTCATCAAGTGGCAGTTTCGATATCATGAATGGATTTTTTCTACTCTCTTTCTCTCTTACACACAACTTAGAGAATGCAAAATTATCAAGGACATGCATACACAAAAGCCGAAGGGATACGGATTTGTTGCGTACAAAAACAAACATGTAAGTGCTGATAAGTTTTAAGATATTCTTTGTTCTAATAGACTCATTCTTTTCTAATTCAGAATGTCTAACGTTATTCGAATAGCCGGCTAATTTCCATATCGTGAACCTGCTTTGTTTTCCGTTTTCCAACAGTACATCACACCATCTGTTTTGTTTAATCAGACCCACGGAGCCACATAATGAGAACACCAATTGGCAGACAAGCTCATTTTCAGTGTGTCTTACCCATGCCATTACAATACAATATATAGCACTAGTTACAGGGAAAGATAAACAAGATTAAAAGGGAAAGTAGTTAAAGTACTGAACAGTTTGCATCATAATTGGTCTCCAACTATCATTTACTCCGATATTTCATGGCAGGTCACTTGTCGGCAATCCGGCCATGTGAGTTTGAATGCTTGAACAAAATCTTTTAGAGCACGTAGAGTGGGGTTGTAAAGACAGATACCAATTACCTCCGCCGTGGCTAGAATATGAAATCGCACGTGTCTACTCACTAAAAATGTACTTTTGTTTGTTTACGGGGAAGTGAGTTCATTCGGACTGGACGGGGTTTAGACGGACCCGGTCCAATGGGTGACATTTGACGGCCGAAACACCAATAATCTTGTGGGGTTTCCAATAGAGTGCGATTGGTTGGATTCACTTGAAGGCACAACGGATTCACTTGAAGTTGTAAAGGTATAGATCGTCCTATTTCCATTATATACAAGGGTAGGAACGCTTCCGTCACGTTTACGATGTGATTGATGTCGACGACGTGCGACATGACAGTACTTGTAACTAACTTAACTACTGCATTTGTCAGCCACGTAGGGTGATGCTCACGGATGAGCTCGGACAAACGCCTGACCGTGCGGCCAATAAACTTAGTTCCACAGAAGCATGTGAAATACAGAAATAGGCAGCGGAATCGGGTACTCTATCCTCCAACCGTATATACACCAAAGAGCTAGATGTGAATCGGGTTTGGAGCTTAGCTGCGTAGAACGTTTTGTTGACGGCACCGGATAGCCTTCTATGCACAACCTCTGCCAAGTTGTCGCCTTTAAATGATTAATAAATGTACGTAGACTTATCACCAGTGAATCTCTTGGGAAACGCCTCTTGTCTTTGCATCAGAGTGTACTAAGCGCTCGGGGTATCCATTACTTTACCTTCTCCCTTGTAAATTCTTATCTCTTACCAGTCATATGTCATATATGATTAAGACATCGAAAACGAGCTTGTTTGCCAATATCTGTTTTATAGTAAACAGTACAAAGCTAGCACATTCACAGATTGGTTGACCGGTATGGTCATCGACACGAGTTTGTCTGTAGACATTAATGACCGTGCGTTTCACAGTTTAGTTGTGCCTTAAAACGTGTGCTACTCAGATGTCATCAACGTGAACTCTGCTGTATCACTCGAACGTTGGTTGCCCTACTTGCATCTTTGCGGATCCGAATAAAACAATTTCTGAAACTAGTATCCTATTCAAGTTTCCGACAGATAGCAATTCGGTACTGATTTGGAAAGATGGCTTTGTCGGTCGCTCCGAAAGTTAAAAATCATCAACAATGTGCCGTTGGTTTAGTTGTAAATGCTCCCAAACCAGGAACGTTGGTTTTCATATCTGAGTTTGGATGCATTTGATCTAACGTTCCGAATCTATCAGCCATTAAGTTAAATCTCATGAACTTAAGACCTGTGACAGTCAAATAAAAGAGTACTGGATTAGTGTCTAGAAATTACCGGGAATTCACAACAAGGCATGTTACGCGCGTGTCTTTCCGCCAGGACTAGGGCCATGAGCTGCTGACTTGCAATTCGAAACTTCGCAATGCGTATGAGCAGGGCATAGTACTTGCTGCGAGTTGACCCTTAAAGCAGTTGCGCATGTTTCTTGGTTGCTGGTAGCACGAACAAATTTGCATTGCATCTAAAAAAATGCATTGATGTTTCCGAACTCAACGAACTTCCGAGAAGTGAGTAGGACCCATACACATAGAGAACCCAAAGATCGGGCTCTTCAATTTGTGAATTCTTACAGACAACACATGCAAAGTAAAACGGCGAATGTTTGTATTAGCCCATTCGGTTCTTCACAGACACCAGACACATGCTCTTTGTCGATTAGCACAAACATTTCCACCTCATTTAAATGCATTCAATAAGTCAGGAATCAACGACCTCCCAAGGAGTGAAACCCACACCCGATATCATCAACAGTGCCTGGTGCCTGTGAACAACCGAATGGGCTAATCCAAACACTCACCGTCTAAATTGACTTAGCCTTTCGCACAAGGTGATGACCGCCGACCATGTAGCTCAGGAGTAATGGTTTGAAGTCCCACCCCGAATGTTCGCGGTTCGAGAACACAAGAACTATTCATTGCTGACGAGTCCCAAACGGGACGAAACAGCTGTCCGGTGCTCTTTGTCGGTTACCACAGACGTTTCCACTGCACTAAAACACATAAAATAGATAGATTTAAGTTTAAAATTTTCATCATAAATCAGCACGCCAAACATTTGTTATACTAGTCCGTTTTGTTTCTGCTGAACAGCCAGATAAACCACATGATCCAGGGAATGTGAGAGAGCTTATCTATCCCCTTTCTCTCTCTCTGGGTGTGTGTACACAGGAAGCCGAACGTGCCATTCAAATCATGAACGGTCAAGTCATCGGTTCCCGGGCGATACGAACCAACTGGGCTGTGCGACGAGACCCAGCTGATCAGGCAAAAGGTGAGTCCACATCGTCGGTACCAAGCCCCCCCCCGTCACGTTTTGATTGTGTTCTTCAACGGTGAAAACCTTAGCTACCGAGGCGTTTTGATTCTTGTGCACCAGAAAAAAATAACCAATTAGAATCGGTTTTTAAAACATCCAATATTTTGTTTCCCATTGAATCATGATAACTTCGAACAATATTGCTCTGACCGTTGCACGTTCGAATTGTTACATAACTCGTTTCTAATTAGGTTCGATCTTTTTCATTATTCCGCTTTTAGATCACAGACCCCTGAACTATATCGAAGTATTTAATGCTTCCTCTGCCAGCAATACCACCATATATGTTGGTGGAATCAACACTGGTCTTACCGGTAAGTTGCTTTGTTCTGGTCCTGTGTGCTTTTCACATGACACATGTTTGCATTACTGCAATTCACAAATATTTTCCACTCTGAATTAGGTAAATTCAAACAAAACGATGGAATATCCACGTAGTGCTTTCCGGACAGCCAAGGAACACCAATCGTGTTCATATTGAACGCAAAATCCATGAAAGTAAATAGGCGTGTTGCTAGAGGTCGACAATGTATAGGAACTGAATGACCATTCAACACCATGCATTTTAGAAATCAAATTAGGGGCCGGGATCAAAATAATTAGACTATTGTGATGTCATCAATAAGCCACCTTAGTTGGGTTTGAATTCGCAAACAGAAATGAGGGGCTTATCATTATGAACGACCTATGCTCTGCCTGCCGAGGTCAAGCTGGCAGGTTTGAATTGCTCAAACTTGATCACTCACCTGAGTGTTAGAAGTGCACCAACTTCCGCGTTAAATGGCTGCTTGAAAGGTTTTTCTTTAAACCCACTCAAACCAACCAAAGGAATGTCTTAATTGCTCAGACTATTTGAAGGGATATTCTCAGTTCAAAGAAAGATAAAACGTGTGCACCTTGTGCACTCAGACGCGTGACTTAATTAATTGATTTTCAAATAATCAACTTGTTTTCCGTTGAAATTCGATTGAATCAAACTCTAGTCCGAACTACTGATCGGAAACTTTATACCGGGACGTGACTTTAGAGATATTATATTCATAAATTTGATTTTGGAAGTTTTATTCATCAAGACTGAAAACCCAGATAAAAAATGAGTCCGAAAACAACAGTCTGCTTGAAACGTTTACCACAAAAGATGCCCGTTTCGTTGGTAAATCCGTATCTTCATTTTTCCCCCAAGTTGATGTCACTCAGCCCGACTCAGGATAGAACATGGGAACAGATATCATGGTGAGACGTATTACGAGGTTTCGGTTCAACAATTCATCCTCCACCCTAAACCCGGACAGGGGAGTGGGTGGGGATGAGGACAATGTCAGTGAATAATTCACTCAACACGTGCTCGTATACGACCGCGTACGGGAGCGCGCTCGATTGTACTCACCTCGTTGATTGATTACCCGACCGGTCAAGTGATTCGCTTTGTGACATTGTCTCCTCTCCGAGAATATCCTTCCCCCCCCCCACACGCACACATCGTTCTCAATGATGAACACGTCACATGAACGAAATGCAAACAATATTGTTCGATTTACAATGAGCTTTGATCAATAAATTTTATTTTAAATTTAATCCTGGAACTGAGAAAAGTTGTGGACAATTTGTTTCCTGCACGGCTGTTTAAATTTATTCGTTGTAAACCAGCTTGAATAGAACAGATTGGAATTTCATTTCTGATTGTGTCTTTGTCTTTTACAATGGTCCACAGAATCCCTTCTTCACAACGCATTCGAAGAATTTGGAGAAATAAAAGAAGTCCGAATTTTTCGCGACAAAGGATTCTCATTTATCCGGTAAGACTGTCCATACGTTTCACCTTTTTTTCATTTTCTATTTTTCACGGATGATACCGTTGACCAGAAGATGTGGTTTCTTTTGATCGTGCTATATCTTTCTATCTGCTGCCCCTAACACCCCCCCCACCCCCGCGTACAGCGATGAACTGGATGACAGGAAAATCAACCCAAAAGTCATATAGTTTGCCTTAAATAAGTTTAAAGTTATGAAAAAACCAATAACTGTCGCATATATGTCTGATGTTTGTTATTGAAACAGATTGTCCTGTACAAACTGTCACAAAAATATCCCACTGTCTGTTCACTTGGTCCCCATGGGATGATCGACAGTGAAGACGTAAAAGGTACAAATCACGTTCAAAATATTGATATCCCAAATGGGATTTAGACCTTTATTCACAAAAAAATGTTTCAAAAATTTAGCTTGCGCAATCAATGATGTCTGGTTATTGTGTGAAAGGGAGAGATACACTGTACAGTCTCAGGTGCATCAACTCCAACGTTGGCAATTGACACCTTTATATCTTTATATGTCAGAGGAGGAAAACCGAGGAGCGGGGGGCGGACGGGCGTGGGAAATATAATATTCTAAATAAGAGTAACTTTACCGAGATTGCAATGTGCTACCGTGATGATGAATGACAGTGTTCAATTTCACCCGACAATGACAAGTCGGCACGGACGAGAACGACACGAACCAGCCTGCCGGTTGAATCGTCGAACACGGTGTCTGCCAGACACACAAAATTGCTCGCTTGTCATGTAGGGGGAAAGTGGGTATGTTAAACAATAATCGCACCAAGCCTTATGGATCTGACTATGATTTATTTCTGTTGAAAACACGCAATAAAACGCAAATGATAAATCCGGGGATTAGTTTAAACCTATTTACGACTGTATCGATGGTAATTTGGAAACCGTACAAGTTTATGTACCTATTCCTTGGGCTGAGTGTTATTTCATCGCCTCTTTCGATAGCCGGCCTCTCCGGATTCGGAACCGGGTTCTGGCCAATTTGTGTACCCTCTTTGCGCGAAATGATTTTCGTCTGTGTTGAACATGGTTTTCTGTTTACCAATTCATCTTTTCCCAACATTATGGTGTAGCTATGGTAACCGGGTGGGAAGTTTCCGTGGCTCATCAGACTGATCCGATTGACTTAGAGGCAAGGCTAAGTTAGCTTTGTGATCATAATTGGTCTGATAGTTTACGGCATGCGCTTTGCTCATCCCCGAATGTGTCGAATACTTTCATAAGACGACCGGGTTCCTTTCATCAAAACGTAAAATAATGAAAGCGATAGATAAGTAAACTGTGCTCCTTATCGGAGTATTGCATTTTTTTGTTTATCTACTGTGACGGGACGATAAAGGGATCTTTGATTGTATGAAGTGTCAGAGGGAAAAGGGAAAACTACAACTGCACCGGTCGGGTTTTCCACCCACCACCTTAAGTCCTTTTGGGGGAAACTAAGTGATGACTACTGAAATTACATGATGCATAAATGAGGCTGTTGGTGCCAATCGATCGTTTTATCACATACTTATGTGTAGTGAACGGGAGATCGTGGGAGTAATGGATAGTATGCACAGCTTGCTGATCGCCAATCGGAGTGGCCAACCACCGAAGACCTCATTGAACTGGGTTGTGCATTGGAATGAGTAGCCAANAGTAGCCAAATGCCAGGTTTGCCGGCGTTGACAGGGTTTGCACTGGTGACGTTACCGATCAGCGCATCTGAGTGACTTGACTCAGTAAAGTGCTAGTACCATCAATGCACCGATCGCTACCTACCCTACACACACACACATACACACTAACACTAACACTAACACTAGCACTAACTCTGTCGATGCAATTAGATGATGACTGACGTTCACGAGGACTGAGACACGACGAGGTTTTCTTGAGACACTTAGCCATCTGAAATAACTAACCACTAGTTTATTATTGAAATGA